TAGAAAGTGGCTCTATCATAAAGTAATTAGCACCTAATACAGGTTTAGCAGTAATTACCACCACAACAGGCTTGATCCTTTAATTCACCTTAATTTCTTCTATAGCAACAGTGCAATTATTTAAGAATTTTAACTTTGAAAAACGGAGAAAATATACTGTACATCGAGGCATTGAAAATGAAAATGTTGTTTTTTTTTTTTTTTTTTTTTAAAAAAACTTGCAGCAACAATTAAAAAAGAGTTAAATATAGACATTTTGATTAATGAGTTTATATAGACATTGTCTTGATGGTTTATGTATGGTAGTAAACACTTAACTGATGAGTTATATACATTTATGCCAAATGAATATACGAACATTTAGACTGATGCATTAATACTTAGGCTGATGGCACATTTACTTCACGATTGGCTATGTGTATCACAACGCTCATGATTGGTGCTTCAGTCTAGGCCTAGCAATAATTAATTAGTAGTGTAAGAGCTGAATGGTAGATAAGAGTATTGTGTTGTCTGTGTGAAGATTATTCAAATAGTTAAATAATTAGTGGTAGAATGCGTCACATGAAAAATGTTGATGGTAGATATTCTTCAGATGTTCAAAAAGGGTCGAAAAATTTGCTGTCAGGGTGGGTCAAATGGTCAGTTACAGGGTAAAGGAAGAATAATTTGCTTAAAGGGTGAAGATTATTCACATATTCAAGTGTGGCAGGGAAATAATTTGTTGTCATCGTGTAGATTGTGGTAAATTTTAGTGGATAGAAATGAGTGGATAATTTGCTGTTTGTGGTGGAGATTATTAAATTTGTCAAGCAAATGGGAAGAGGGAATTAATTTGCAGTTTCGGCAGAAATTTTATAGTATTCAAGAGTGTGAAGAATATGTTAAAAGGGGCAAGAAAAATCAATGTTGAATAGAAGGGGATGGTCTGTTAACAAGTTCGAAATTTTATTTTTAGTGATAGGGATTGAATGGAAAGAGATATTATATTGCTGTGTGATTTATGTATTTTTTATATTAATTGTGCAATGTAATTATATTGTTATTTTTATTTATATATTTTTTTTTCCAATTAATGATACTGCATTGAAAGAGTTGTTTTCACCCACCTCTTCAATTTTTTTCTTATAATCAAAGATTATTTTTGTCAATATATCAGAGTTTTGTGTGTATTCATTTATTTTTGTGTAAAAATTAAACCATTGATTTTTTGATTTAATCATTGTAAAATCAAGTGAAGAGCAAGTAACTATTGATAGGCTTAAACAATAAAAGTGTATACAGTAATCATTTTTGTTGTTAAAAAATGTATCCTTATTTGACCATGTAAAAAGATGGTTGGTTCTTCATTTTTGTTATCCCCCAACAATTTTGAGTATGGAAGAGAGGGAGGTGTTTATTCAACCCTAAATTAATCAGGAAACAATCGGGCACAGCTACCTATCTTGCAATGCACTCGTGTCTACTGGGCTTTTTCTGAAGTAGGGAGAGAATGACCAAACATTTTACAGTTTTTACATGGATTTGATTTTAGAAATTGTAGCCAACGAAGTGGTATTAACATAATGTATGAATAAATGGTCTGTCAAGCTAAATTGATTTAATTAATAATTGCAGTAATCTGTTAATGTCAAAGATTTAATACTGAACAACTTTCATATCTGTGAATCATATGATTGCTTTCTTCAGTATGGTAGTAAGCTTTATGGTGTAGATAGAATTAAGAAATATCAATGAAATACGAGATGCAGTAAATGCCATACTTATATAAGAATACAATTATTGTTTATTGATTTTACAGTTTCTAGTGCTTGATAATACCAGTAGTATTCAGCATTATAAACAGTGTTATACGTGTGTTGTAATTTAGTTTAGTAAACTGTTTGTTGCCCCAAACATTTGATTAAATATGCATGATAATATCAATTAATAATTATTATTATTTTGAATTCATATTATTAAGTGTTGTACTGTGTAATACAAGTAGGCCTATTTCAAATCCGTTAACCAACTAATTGTGTATTGTATTATACTATACCTCTGTGAGTATACCCTCGATTAATGCTTTCAATAATTTGTTTGTTTTACACTGATATAAATAAAGAGTGTTACGGAATTATGGATTATTGTGAATATGTGTTGGTTATTCTTGGCAGATGATTTTGCTTCATGGTGTGAAAATAAAACTATCAAGCTGTCTGTGATATAAGCTAAAAGAACAAACTTGATAAATAAAATAAAATATTGTAATTGCTCATTTTTAATATGCAAGTACGATTTTAGCTTTCAGATGTGTGTGCCCTGTAATAATAAGCCATTATTAAAGTTGCATATCATACACTAGTAGAAATTATTATACAAAGGTTAGATTAATGCATGAAAAAAATTCATGTGGGCCTGTAAGTTTGATTGACACTCCGGAGAGGTCCACTGTACAATTACAGACAAGTTATTAGATTTAAATTGAAAACTTGTCAATTTAAAGACCCCCCATTTTGATTTAAATACACTGATCATCTTTAAATGAGCAATGGCAAGAGAGTCATGATTCCATTTATTGCAATAATAAATTTATATAAATTAGTTTTCCTGAGCTAACAATGCATATTACAAAAAATACACACAAAATATACAGTACAACACCATAACAGCCAAAGCATACAGCATGTTTTACTATTAATGATGATGGTGGTCACGATTATAACGGCGATACCGACCATGACGACTACAAATGAGGATGATGACGAAGACGATTTTGATGATGATTATCGTGATAATGATCACAGTGGCGTAACCATGAGTCACGGGGTGGTGTAGGACAATCGAAATGCATTTTCATGAGCACTGTTCCTTGGTTAAATTAAGTAGGAATGTCATTGACGATAAAACCCAATAGACGTATTTCAAAATAACCTAAGTGTAGGCATAGTTGTGTTTACCTCCTATGATTTAACAATGGGTTTCTTCTAACATTAGTCTCAAATCATGCACCAGGACTAAGCAATCGTTACAATTTTAACATATCCCCTGGGTTGCTATGTCGAATGTAGCTGCGCCAATAAGAATAACCATCTTGGGAGTATTTTCATAGTTCTGTTTACAGGGTTTAATTTTATACCTGAGTGGGGTAACTCCTAAATCATAACGCGCTTTTGACTTGTTTGAAGTAAACACTGCAAAATAGGACCACGGAAAGTACCGCCGTGATCGATTTTTGGCGCAGTGCTTTATGGCATATCATCTTGTTCATAACCACCCCGTGCACATTACACAGGGGTTGCATTTTTGTCTTCACTTTATTGACAATGTATTCATCAAACTTTTAGTATGCTTAGAATATATTTTTTTTCAATAGTTTGTTTTCCTAACGGGCCAAATTGAATTGCCTCATGGGACACCTATTAAACAGCTCAGCTCTGTGATCGCGTAAAGTCGCCACCGAAGGCACTCTTTGCGCTCCATACAGAGCTAAAGTTCAGAGCCAGAGAGAAAACATGGCAGGGTATATGCGTGGAAGTATGAGTGAATTTGCCGAAAAACACATGAAGCGTCATGGCTGGAAAGCAGGTAATATTAGTATATGTATATTTTTTGTATAATTATTTGAATTCTATTGTTCGGCTGCCTTACTATACTTATGTTCAACGTGTTTTACTGTCCTAGGCCTAGTCTGGCTAGGCCTACTCAGCTTCCCCAGCAACTTCACCACGTGCCAGGCTGTCATCAAGCCAGTGGCAGTGGAGGTTGAAATATTGTATTTCGTTTGTAATTTGTAGAGGATGTATAAGGTAACAATAGGGCCGAATAATAGAAAAAAAAATTAGATTGGCATTCCTCTAAAAAAAACAAATGTCTGCTCAAAAATGGGTACTTCACATATGAAGTAAAAAAAAAAGAAGCTGTACAGTAGTGCATTTTAAAGATAGTGAGATTGAAGATGATGGTCCAGTCTGTAAAATAAGGCATGAAAAGGGAATAATATCCTCTGCACGAAAATTGGGCCTAGAAAGCTGTTTTTTAAAAACAAGGGTCGATTTCCGTGTAGAATTTGTAGAAAATTCGTAATAATATATTAACCATTTATTGTATTACTATTATGCAGTAGTTCTGCGCCCCTATTTTCCTAGCAATTTTCTGCGCAATATTTGAACTAGTTTTTAAAGTAACACTCAATTAAAATACTTGGTCTATGGTCAAGTCAGCTCCACCAATCATGCACCTCCTGTTTGTCATCGAAACAATATGCACAGTAAAAAAAAATACAATAGACTATAATTGTAGACTTGTTTGAATTGAATACTGTAATCAGTATGATCCCTCAGTCGGGACTTGGATTGCACTTACAGTATTTGTTAAAAAGAAACAACTTGGTTACTAAATTCCTACTGTAATGAACATTTTTAAAATACCTACTCCTGAATGTTACTTGATTATATTAGCCGATCAGAAATTCTCATTCCATGCTTTTACATTACTGTACTTTCACCTTTGCCTTTTTGTTTACTTTGTAGACCTGGGGCTTAAGACCTTGTTTATTTGCTCTTTATAAATCACCTATTAAATATAATATGCCTTAAAAAGGAAAAAGTGAAAGATATTATGTAATGCTACATAAATTTTTTGTCTGGACTTTCACGTGACACAGGTAGTGGACTTGGAAGAAATGAGGATGGCATCTCAGAGCCTATCAAAGTCAAGATCAAGAGAGACTCTGCTGGGGTAGGAGCATCTCAAAATTTTCCAGCATTTAAATCATTAATCATTATTATCATCACCATCAATTACCATTAACCCTATCAGCACCCTTAAAATCAAACTGTTATCATCACATTTTTATTATTTAAATATTATCGTCAAACAAAATTGTCATCAGTATCAGCATCATCTATCTATCTTTATTATTATCAAAATCATTTTCATCACTATCATTATCAGTATCATCCTCATTAGTATCAAAATTAATATCATTATCGTTATTTGCATTCTACAGGTACTTGTTTGTTTTAATTTTATGTCCCAAGTGCCCATGAAGGTGTTTTGGGCCGCCTTGAGTTAAATATTGTTGGCATTCACATCTCAAGTCCACCCTAACACCATCTTTGTATTAAAATGCAGCAAATGGGCAATTTCATAATGCAGAGTGATTTTTTGTAATTTTTCATACTTATCAAATCCCATCAAGTTTGTTATCAAACTAAAGCTCATTTTATATAGAATTAAGATCTAAAATCAATATTTTGGTATTTCAATGGTAAAATGTGAAAAAAATGATCCAAATACATAGTATTTTTAAATTTTAAAATATAGTAAAAAATAGCTTACTTAAATGCAATTATTATGCAGAATGTATATGTTGGAAAATTCTAAATTCATGTTATTTTACAAAAGAATAGATACTATTATCATTTTCAAAGGTGAAAATTATAATTTTTAAATAATAAATTATTTTTTTTTGTTTTTTAATAAATTTGTTAATTTATGTGATTCCGCTACCAAAAAAGTGATTTTTTTAAAATTTCTCCAAAAGTATTGATTTTTCAAAAATGAAAGTACAGGTGATAATAGACTACTGATAGATGTATCAGAAAATAATAGGCTTTAAATAAATTTTTTTATATATTTTTAGAAATAAAGGTTTAAAAAACGTGATTCCGCTACCAAATGTAATATCGGAATGACGTGTATTTCCGCTACCAAAATATGCTACCCACTAGATAGCAACAAAATTCAACTTCTTTTCCAAGTATCAAATGGATTAACAAATTTCAATGGTTAAATGATACAGATAAACAATAATTAAAGCTTGGATCAACTTTGTTGTTCAAATGCAAGTTTAGGTATGGGAAAAGGGCGAGGTGTACTTTTCTCAGAAACTTCCAATAAACTTTCTACTTATAGAGTTTTTGCATCAAAGAGGTACTTGTTAATCAAATAAATTTACTTATAATAAACAACTTATTTGAATTTGTATAGTTGGTTTTTACTCCACCTACTAATTTTAAGTGCTTGCTGTTGGCTCACAAACCA